ATCAAATTTCAAATCCCAAAAAATGTATCCATTCAAAATACCAAATAATTTATCCATACACGTAAAAACCAAATAGTACATCCATCCATTAAAAAAAAAAAACATCACAGGACTTCACAAACTACTCTAGATATACCACAATCACATTTAGAATGTCCAGAGAACGTATAAGTCAAAAGTCAACAATCAAATCCTGTTACTATTTGATTTTAACTTTTCACTATAACTTGCAAGTTAAAACATCACACTAACACAAGTTATACGGCCGATTTTAGTCACCTAGTACAAACTTTTTACACCAAAACGTATTCACGTGATTAAGTAAATTATTTTATTTTTTTTCACTTAAAACTTGCCGTATTTTTATTGATAATCGTACAGTAAACAAATAAATTATAACTAACTATATTACAAGCTATTCACTATGATATAATTGAATTAAAACCTGTTATGACTTGACGGTTTAACCCTTTCAACACCGAGTGTAAATGAAATAAAATTATAAAATACATAGGTATTGGACTGAAAGTAATATTACTTAAAGTTAGGTTAACCCTTTAAACACTGAGGGTAAATAAATCTATTCTACTTTAAAATTCCAGAATCTCGGTTTTTTCCTTTCACCAGTAGAGATTTTATTAACCCTTTAAACACTGAGTGTAAATAAAAAAAACCATGATATACCCTTAACCCTTTGAACTCTGAAGTTTTACGTACTACTCTTCTACGCTTAATTGGGCTAATGAAGACGGGCAACACCATGCAGTGTACAATGAGGGTATTTTGAAGGACAGTGGCATTAGCCTACTCTTTTTCGATTCCCAACTGTTGTGGGGTCTTTAACGCGCACAGCCTGTAGCACGCTTGGCCTTCAAGGGGAATAATAAACCCTTCATTGGTATAAAAAACATAGTTATGCAGCAGGTAGTTTTAAAAGGGTTAATAAACAGATTAAGGTAAGGTTTGTAAGTAAAAACATTGTTATAAGGGTAATAATTGAAGCATGGAGTTATTGAAAGACAGTGAAAGCAATCATTTAGACTCAACAGAGAGTGACAAATATAACCTTTATGGTTTTAATTCTCCTGAATATTAAAGATGGGTTTCCTTATTTTTTTAGTGTC